AGCTTTTAAATTTGCTTTAAATCTGATACACGATTTGTATGTAGTCGGCTATAAGAAGTTGAAAATCAAGTCAATACGATATGGTAATATGTAAATATTGCCTTAAGTAATTCTTACACGTGATTAATTTGCAAGCAAGAGTTTATATTACAAGCGATTGACGAGTCATTTATGTTAAAATCCATATGAAATACAACCTTAGATATCTAACTGATACTTTGTTACTCGTTTAGTTCGGATCAAAAATATTTACATCAGAAAAAAATAAGTTATGAAAATAAAATTTTATATCCTTATTATGTTGGCACTGCTATTGCAAAGTTAAAAAAAAGAAAATATATTTAGTAAATATTTTGTATAATTATGTATATATTTTTAAAACGTAAAATAGAGAATTTTCTTAAAAATCTGAAAACAAAGTGATCCCTCGGAAGCATCATACATCATTTTTAGATATTTAGGCTGTTCAATGGTGTTTGTTTGGGTTTGTCAATGATTTTGGGATGCATTTTTAAAAGTCATTTATAGCGACAGAAGCATCTCCGTAGGAAAAACATATTAATTTCTTGCAATTGAGTGATTTTCACATAAACACGCCTATCAACAATAATAATAAAGATTCTTTATAAATATGCCATTTAATACAAATAAAACAATTTTCGACGTTTTGCTGAACGCAAATAGATCATCGTAATCTCGGAAATAAATCATTTTTAAAACACATAACTCACTTTACACCGGCTTTAAATCAGTACTCTTTATAACGATGTCAATCACCAGAAAATTAAAGGTGTGTGATCCAATCCTTGATAATGTCAAAATGCACTTTTTTGGTGAGTATCTGTAACACCCAAAGAGTTAGCTTAGTTGATCGGAAATCAAAACACTGTCATTGATAGTCAGTAGTTGTCGTTTTTAGTGGTAAATTATACATCATCATCTTTTCAACTAGATCTGATTGTATTTTGTTTATAAAAGAATACAACGTTTCCGAATGCATGCGTTGGGTAAATTAAAGGCCGGGTATATACAAACATCAAAGCTATTGCTTAACATTGGTAAAGACTCGAATGTCAAAGATCATACAAAAACGTCGTAACACTGCAATTGTATATGACATGAAAATCACAACATTGATAAAAAATGGTGGTTTTGTTTCAGTATCTTGTCTTTCTCTGGTAAATAAATATGTGGTGTAGTCAACACTAAGTATAAAGAAATTTTAGCGTAAATGATTCATAGCGATAAAAAGCGTACTGGCTAATTATTGCTAACGCCGATTCAGTGGTAACATATGGGCATGATATCTATAAAAATGATAGTAAATACCGATAAAATCATATAGTTAAAATATAGATGAATCGAACTAGAATTATTTTGTACTAAATTATTCACACGTAAACCTTGTGACTCTAATTACATATTTCATATAAAAAACAGGACCGTAGGCAAATATATTTACTGTATATATAGTCGCTGAAATTATAACTAACGCACAGGTGAGAGAAAAGTTGATAAAAGTTTAAAACATTTCACCTTATCGTGACTATAAAAATATAACTTTCAACAACCTCACTGATCATTGAGATCATATTCTGATAACATATACTAGTTATGTACTCATACTTTTTATATATATTTTTTTTATTCATTTATATATCTCCAACGATTAAAAACCGCATACGTTTTATTATAACCGGGTCATCAAAGTCGGCATTGAGTATCACGTGATAACAATTAACTTCAGTCACACACCTGTCATATAATGTGCGTTACAAATGAGTTTTAATGATATAAATAAAACAGATACATACATTAGTTTTTCGCTGTGTAACATGATATATTGAATTTAATAATAATGCTCATATAAATTACACTGTACACACGATATCTAAACACCAGTGTTAATATAAATATATTTCAATTTACTTTTTAAATTATTGTAGCTTTAAAAATCTAAATAAAAATTATAACCATTTTATTTTCAATTATTAAAAATTATTAATTGATTATCACTCGGAACAAATTCGTAGTGAATTTTTGTCTTTTTTGTCTTGGTACTTTCAACCAATGTCAACGAAATTGTATAAAATAATAGAAATATGGGATAAAAAAAATTCTTTTTTTACCTATGCATTAAATTTTGAAATGATATGCACTATAACTGGTAATATTCTTTTTTTAAATGTACAAAATCATGGAGGTATTTACAGGAAAGATAAGTTAAATAATCAGTTTTACATTAAATACGAATTGCATTCGTGGCAAAAGTGATAGCAATGGTAGGAAATGACATTAAATACAAGCATTAGCGGGGGCAATCATACAATGTTTGGACGAAATGATAATTTAATGACTGATCTCATTATTAGCGAAACTGTTCATCTAATTGTAGAAAAGATTTGACCTTCTACAACACATAGAAAATTGGGTCTATTCCCTAACCCACGTGAAAGGAAATAGTTGATAATCATCTCCACATCGAGGCCATGCCATTGTCAATTGTTTGATAATTTCCCCGAGTTTTCTATGAAATGGGACTGGATGCTTGGGTTACTATGTATGTACAGAGATAAAATCTTGGTCGGAGAGGCCAACCACCCGGACAACGAAGTAAGGGGTAAACTACTCAGTGCTTTGTAGACACTTCATTCAAAATGCATGGTAATTAAGACAGGTGCTTGCACTCTTTAAGATACCTAAATTATTTTAATAATAGGGTATGCGGTTCACAATATCATTTTAATAAACAACCCCCATAACCTTTTTACTGATCAAGAGCACAATTTACTGATAATGCCGTCTACACGGTCCTTCGTTAGGATGGTTTTTGAGGTTTGAATAATGTGTCTATTTGATAGACACACACCGAGCATGACGGGGAACGCCAAATTTTCCAATATTTCAATCTTTTAAAATATTCTAACGAACTTTCTATGGTTTTTTTTTTTTTTTTTTAATTTAATTTCACGCGTTGTGTTTAAATGAAGATACATATATATTTTATTGTGCTTAGTTTTTAATTTTCATATTTAGTTATTATTGTTTTGTTAATGTAACAAAACACATACTTGCCATCAACGGTTTTTGCACGTCTAGCTCAATATGACATTTGAAAATAGTACAAAGGTCAGTAATGTCAACTGACTTGCGCAAATTTCGTGCTTGACAAAACTTGTCATCAATTTTGCTGTTATAATTAATTTTTGGAAAACAAGTTTATATATGAAATTATTACGTTTCCAAAATTGTTGATATTAATAATATAAAAAAGCACTTTTCGATAATCCGTAAATATTTATATCAAAGCACATTTAGTATTTATTTCTTATTGTATATATTATGGCAATACTTGTTATATACTAGTAAAAATATGTCTGTGATTGTTGATACTCCAAACCTGATGTATCACATTTCTTTACCATGAAATAACCATTTAGTATCATATAAATAAGAAATTCATTATATATAATAAAACCTGTCTAGCTCACGAATGACTATAAATATTTTCTCTGGCAGAATAGCCAATATGTTTTTCTTAATATAAGAAATTTAGTGAATGATGCTACTTAATTTGCTACTCCTTAATTTGCTGCATATTTTTACTTGTCAATAAAATAATATAAATGTATCTATTAATATAATTTTATTCCATGGGATACATAAATTAAGTATGCAGGTATGAATTATACAGCAGAAAATGTTTATGTTGTGATGCTCGTGATATTTGAAATAATGCAAGATAATCACATATTACAAAAAAAATGCCTAATTACGTTTGCTGTTTGTCATTTTAACTTGAACATAATTTTATTGCAATAAATTATGCAATTCTTTCAGGCGTAATTTTGTGTGCGTAATTTATGCCGCTTTTTATCACCAGCGAGTGTGTGGTATTAAATTTCAGTGAATTAGAATGGAGAATCTGACTGTGCGGACCAGACATAAAACAAAGGGAATCAGCCCTTCAAATTATTTACATATTCCTAAAAGAGTGACGATTTGCCTTTTCCGTCTTTAATGAACACGCCATGCTGTTAAGCATATTGTAAATTATATTGTATTTTCTTCTATTTGAAAAGTTCAAAAACGAAACATAATTATATTTAACCATTATTTTGTTTATAAATCACAAACGATGGTACATCGCGGTGTGTGGTGAGCACCCTTTCCACTTTGTATGTTTAAATATGCAATCATTTGTCGCGTTAATTTGTTATTTTGCAATTTATGTTTCACAAACTTGTCAGATGTTTTCCCAATTACTTTCAAAAACTTGCCATATAGTGCAGTGGGACAAGATCCTACACACAATCAACACAAAATGTGTAATAAATCGTGTAAAATCCCGGAGGATGTGTCATTTGTGATGAGTATATTGGTCTGTCAAAACTGTCCAGCACAGGCGAGGCCAATGATCAATTACACCGTTATTTATCTACATAGCTGTGTCAATACTCGTAAACATGGTTGTAAAATAATTATCTGATTTCTTATTCTTATATTTATATATCACATAAAACAAACCATTGTTTAATCTGGGTTTTTGTTTTTCAAAACTACCATTTCTCTTATCATTTGGTGTACACTGTTTTACAGAATAATATCGAAGCCTTAAATTGTTATTATTTATATCCATTACAATTTTGTTGAGTATAGCCGAATCAATTCCATACGTCCAAATATAGTCACTTAAGTGATATTGGCGAATTTTTCGCACAAATAAACAATTGCATTTGATTTATAGAGATAGGCTGGAGATCAATACAATCTCTTGGTTTGTTCTGTCTCGGGTCAGGCAGGAGAATGGGGCGCTATTTCTCATGTAAATGGTAAAAATATTGACCATGCCAATTGCTTTTTTCCTACTCCTAAGATATATTTTACATGGCAAGGAAATGGTATTTAAGAAGAGGCCAAAGTCCTGTAACAATTGTATCATAAAATGCACGGCAAATCCAAACTGTGAGATAAAACAAAATAAGTAAAAGGTAACTTACGGGATCCTGAAGGTCTGACGGGTCCGGATTTTCCGGGCTTTTTGACGTTGTACTACCCGTTCCCTCTCTTTCATCTATCACTAAGTCTATAGGCATTTTGCCTTTTAAACAACTAATATATCGATGGCAAAAATTGTCACACAATTCGTGAACCTGAAAATATAAATAACAAACAATATTGTTATTTAAATGGTAGAGGGAAAAAAACGAAAGAAAAAAATAACATCAATTTTAGTTTTGATTAATGATATTAATCATATGATGCGAACACGGAAATGCTTTAACGTCGATTTCATGTAGACATTTAAATCTGTTTGATACAATGAAATTAAATAGAATATATGACTTGGTCGTGTTTTGGGAATATTTTTTTATCTCAGTTTGGCAGTATACATTTCATGATATTAGAAGATTATCATTATATCTGGCGTAATTGTCCTTGCTAATGTTAAGAAAATCTCGATAAAATCTTTTATTTGCTCTTATAAACCAACACAAACACAAATATTTTAAGGCGAGTAAATTTGTTAGCTTATTTCTTATCAGGAGGGATTTTTGTACGTCCGGAAGGTCGTATCTGGTCCTACATTACAAAATTGTTAAGTTTGTAGAATATCACCGTAGATAACATTCAAAACCCAAGACGTAGGTGATTTAATTTGTACACTGCGCAAATTCAAGTGTTCTCCTATCTAAAGCTTTGAAGAAAAAAAACTAATATATCAATGAGTAATTATATATTTTCAATAGTGTATTTATGTTCCACACTGTCTGGTATAGTTTAGCTTGCAGTAAAATTGTTATTGAAATTTATTGTCTTGTGTTTTTTCTGTTTTTGAATTGACTTATTACAGTGTTTTCTTGTCTGTCTTTTTTGTTGAATAAAATAAAGTAGTCGAGAAAGATTATTACCTTTTCTAACTCCAATAAATGGAAACGTAGAACTTGAATCGCCTGTATCATCTGTATAAAAAGAATAAAATAGAAAACAAAATTAGAATAATAACTTAGAATATATGTTTTTGTTCTATACACATATCATGGGTGAAATGTATTAAATTTATTAGGTTATGACAAAATATGTTTTCGTAACTGCCAACATCTGATTGTAAGGCAATGATAGCTAATGTTTTATATAATAAAGATGGTTAAAATTGGGCCAAGGTGTCAATTGCTAGCTCTAGCGAGAATTTAATTGCATCGGCCATATTGGAAACCCCCTGTATTCAATCTGGTCCAAGATTCCCGTCGACTATAAGGAAATTAACACCTCTAGGCAAATGCCTTAAGATTCACATTAGAGAACCTTCCCATCTGCTAGCTTATTAGTATACTTGTATATTTCTAAACGAGCCATGTGTTTTATTTTGCCATTATTTCAGTAAAAAATGCAAGGTCCCATGGTTCGTTGAAAGTTTCAATTCTACGGATACTTTCACTCGATATAAAAATGCGAAAATTTGCGCGATTTTTATTACATGTATGACATTAGACGAACTGGAAAGGTAATTCAAAAACTAGTAATTTTCATCGCTAGACGTGTAGAGAGAGTGAATTTTATGCCAGGGGAAAACGCTGGGTTTTGACCGGGCCTGTTTATCATAACAATCTAGCTAGGTTTAGGATTTCAATCTGTCGATGTGCTATACATGTTGAACCTATTTGTATCGTGATACGTATTTACGGAATGTTATCTCGGTTTTACAGACTAGTATTTTAAATAGACATATATTTTCGGATGTGTTCAGACGCTCCTCACTGTACTGTATAGGGTTCCATCGTTTTATTTCTTATTTTGACACTTTTAGTGCGAAAATGTTTAAAGCCCGAATTCATGTCTATTTTATGAGTAAACAGTGGACAACGTATAATAGATATAAAATGTAAATTGGAAATGAAATGCAAGAAGAATAAAGAAATAATGTTTTAAAATAGAAAATGGTATCTTACCAGGCTATCAAGTTCATGATTTGATGAAAACAAGGGTTTGTCCGAGCGTGCCTGTGAATTGAATACGAGAAAAAAACTTGAGTAAATTATTTTCATGAGTAAATAAAAATATTGTCATCATAGTTATACATAATTCTTTTTTCCTAAATGTACATATTCATTCTTTTTTTCTGAATATATGAATATAATAAGAACTATTTTGATACAGAAGTTACATTAGGTTTCATGTTTATTTGTAATCAAATGTGATATACAAAAGTCCCCATCATTGTATGCGTTGTACAAATCAAATTCCTTATAATATTAAAATTGTACTTAATAGTTAGAATTGTATGCATTAAATGTATTTTTAATTATCAAGAGAAAACTACTCGTGCAATATATAAATATATATTTATTTCTCTGAGAAAACAACATGAAATATTTTGGTCTGGAAGCAATATCAGTTTTTTTGCGGATCATGTCATTGGAGAATAATGCCTGCAATTTGTTTTTATTGCTAAAGTTCGTCCCAGCTTGGAAGCTTAAGGCGATAGTCATTATTATTAAGATTGTTAGTAGGACTTTTAATGTTTAAATATAACCCAAATTGTCAATTGATTACATAAAAGGGTAATAACATTGACCGGTTACTCTGTGTATCTACTTAAGATAAATAAGTGACTTACGACTCTCTCTCCAGATACATAATTTCTTATGTATAAAATAAACCTTGTATATAAATATTTAAAAACCGGCTGGCAATCGGTTTAAAAAAAATAAAACCCCTTAAAAGTTAAATACATTCTTATTAAAATAATTTATGCATTACGGATCAGCATGGTTATTGCCTTTTTATGATTTTATTGAATTTAAATTCCACAAAACCATGTTTTGTTCAAGGTAGAATAACCCTATTCTTTAAATTGTAACTAATCGTTTTAATCACTTCTAAAGAATAAATAATGTTATTTTTGATTGTATAAATATGTTCAGTTATCCTGATTATTTATTGTAAATTTTATAATATTAAAAGTCGAGACAAGGGTCACTTTACGGCGGATTAAGGATTTAAAAAGTTTAATGCAAAACCTGTAATGTATATTGAGACAATTGTTTGTTTTACAAACGACTAAATGGGCTTTAAAGGTTAATTGCACGCAGTTTAGTGCGTATGGGATTTTTTTTCTTACTTATATAACTTACCGGTAAAAAGTGATAATACAACATGTAAAAAAAAAAATAAAAAGTAAACCAAATTGTTGACAATAAATTACCACGAGTATAAAACAAACTTACCAGAACTTGTTTACTAAAAACTGCTATATCTTCATTGAAAGACTCAGATGAGCACACGTCCCCGCCGGCCACCCCGGGTTCTCGTGGCGTGCACGTTGCTAATTCACACTTCTCGAATATAAGCGCCAGCAATGGGAATAACGGGTGCCTAAAACACATAAATTCCATATCATTTTTTACCTGTTCATGATTTTTTTAAATATTTTATTTCTTTTAGTTTTACGATTTTTGATATCTGTATAACTTGATTAAAACTTAAAAAAAACTTTAATTAAATATACCTAATATTTATTTATCTTTAAAAAAATTATTCCGTATTGAATATGTCATTTCCTTCAAATACAACACCGTAAAATTTCAATTAATGCCGAGTTGATAACTACAAAAAAAATCAAACTGAAAATTTGATATCCAGTTAAATGCTTCTCATTTTTATCGTTTTTGTTTTTATTTTATTCTGAGCAGTTAATTATTTTTGTACAGATAGATGTGTATAAAATTGTGTGATACTGCTTGTTTATATCATTAGGGAAATAAATGATTTCTTTGCGTGTTTACAAAAATATGTTAATACGTATCGGCCAGCCATTTTGTTTTGCTGTTTATCATGTTTATGTATTGATGTTTGGCCCGGAGCATCACTCATGTTTCTGTGTTTTATCACTTAGTTTACTGAATATGTGATCGCTAAAGGTATTCCATGTTTTTTTCTATGTTGATGAATTGTCAAATGTATGTGTAAAATGATAGATACAGCATAAAGACTATTCGGCACACAATTTTTGATGTATCAATTACTGTGGATTTGTATTACAGGCTTATTGACTAGTTATTGTCGGCATGTAATAAATACCCATATTGAACTTATATATCCTCAATGGCCTAATATTAACAAAAGGTATTTGAATTGTCTATAAAACCTGTGCAAATATCATATTTTGATAACAATATTTATTGACTCAATTTGCGTAATTTCCTGAGCAACTTGTGAACGTTTACTTTAGCTTAAAACATTAATTTTAAACATTATAGTCTGTTTACATTTGACCTTAAATTCAACACGGCGATGTTAAATTATAGTGGTTTTATGCGCTATGCACATGTTTCGTTGTATTGTGCCTTCCGAAGACATTGTTTTTCAAATTTAATTCCTTCACTCTTTGTTCGGATGAACAGTGTTCTGACTTGTTTTTTTTGGACACTTCCTCACTTTCAATTATTTCTCGTATTTACTTATATATATCCTTGAATGGGTGTCCCACACTTACCCATATATAGAGTCTTTATCCCGTTTTAATTGACTGTCTTGTGTTGAATTTGTTCCCATACTCGCCATAGAGTTACTGGTCGAGTATGGCGGGTAAGAACTGTGCATAGATCCCCCATGATTTACACTACTGTGAGGGGGTATAGAGTGTCCACTTGGTATAGAGGTCCGATGAGGATCATACATGCTCTCCATCCCAGCCAGAGCACCGCCATAGTGGGCCGGGAAATCGTTTTCCAACTGAAATTAGAAACAGACACATTTCAGAAATATATCCAAAAATATCCAGCTGAGTGCAGAAGCAAAGAAAAACTAATAGCTTTGATGAACTTAGCACCGTTACACGTTTTCCGATCTCTATCCAAAATACCATAATTCACGGTTATAAACTTCCATTAAAACACAGACACAAAACACCGCGTAGAACGTCGGTAACCCAATTACGAAAATTAAGAATCTTTATATCCTTACCCTTTGAGCCATGGACCCGTTTCACGCAGTCCAAGGCAAAGGCTTCGAAGTATCCGATTCCGGAATAGCCGTCGTGTCCGTAAGCACTGAAAACACCCTGTTTTTCCGTCGATATGTATCCGGATGGCATAAACAAATCCGAGATTCTGTCAAAGAAATACAAAACTGTCAATGTTAGTAAACGTTTCTACACACTATCATCACAAGCCTGGTTTAGCAAGTATGCTGTCTCTAGTATCGGCCGAACACTGTAAAGCTGTCAATCATGCCTTGTACGCTATACAGCACACCGAACGAACGAATGAGCTGTCAGAAAGAGATATATCGTCCTAGGGCGGGACGGCGCGTCGCGCATGAGGCGCTGTTTTCTTCTTTATCGACCGACTTAGCGAATATACGGCTGTTTTGAATTTTAGTATATAGGATACAGATCAGACCACACTTGGGGAATTTACAGATAAGAAAAATGATTTTCAGTTATGATATATCGCATTTTCATACAGTCATGAGATTCGGCAGTAACCCCTTGTCTAAATGTGTCAGAAGTGCTGGTATCTGTATGCCAGAAAACCAGTGTGCGTCTTTCCCGACCCAATTCCAACTATTCCGATAAATTACACTGTAACAAGATTGCCTCAAAACTTTGGAAAATTTGTATATTTAAAGCTATAAAATATTTAACCCTGCTAGTATAAACAAAGACAAAACATGCTTTAATTTAGTTTCTATTTGATTGATCAATATTTCATACATTCTGATATCTTTAAGTATAGCTCTGTCAAAGACGATATGCTCGACAATAGCTCGCAGTGGGAAAGAATAAACGTGTTGTTGAATGATTGGCAATGATTTGTGTTTTACTGAAGGAAAACGTGTACGATAAAGTTAAACAGTAAAGTGTTTAAATCTTCAAACTGTACGGATATGTCAAATGTGTATTAGCTGTATCAGAATGGTTATCCGTCACATTGATAAAACATTGAAGAATGTGACAGTATTTTAGCCGTGTGATATATGTAATCTGCCGCTCTCTATGTTATGGTTTCCCCGCTGCGAACCCTTCTTTTACTGCGCAGTGGGGAGGCGGGAATATGTAAATTTCTTTCCGCCTCAATTTCCCACTTCCCGCCTCTGAGAACGCCTACTGAAAATTGATCCGCCCGGATTGTAGACTCATTGCTGTAAGTGAAATCAATAACTCCGCCTTAGTGATTTGTGTTGATTATGAACAAACTTAAGAAATGTTGCAAAACTTTGTATTTTCTTCTTTTAGACAGCGATTTTTTTCTTGTTTTTTTCCCTATTTAAACAATCTTTAAACTGTTTTAAAGTACGGCAAGTGACAATTTTGTATTTGAATTTAAAAACGTGATTTAAAATGGACATTTTTGTTTTGATATGGACACTTTATTTGTATTAAAATTATTAAAATTGAGGTAAGAACGAGGCGCGTAAACGGAACAACGCTTTTACTTTCTTTTTAAATTGAAGTTGCTGTAACTCAAATAGGAAATATCAAAATGATGTCAAACGTCTATTTCAATTTTTCTTTTTATTTCATTTTGAAGTAATTGTTTTCATTGTTTAAAGACGATGTCATTTAAGTTTAAGTCTGTAAACTTTAATTCATATAGACATGAAAAATAACTGTTCCGAAATAATGTAATATATAATTTTGCTATAATCATTGCTTTTTATTAGGAACTAAATGCATACTGTTAAGTGAACTTAACATTTCCACGACAATGCCAGCGTTCACGCATTTTAACATCTTTACTGAAATTAAATATAACATGATAACTGACCGAGAAAAGACATCATTTGCTTTAACATTGTAAAGTTGATATTTTGTAGTTACATCTTTACTTGACATTTTATTAGTTTAAATGCTAAATTTATTTTCATTGTTTTTCGTTTTTAAACGTATTTTTAGAATTAGAAGTACACCACTGAGTCAAATGCCTCATATTTTTTTATAACAAAATCGCATTATTTTGGAATTTCATTCGACATTATGAACGCTAGATTTTTTTCTTAAACACTTTTTTGATAAAATTTTAGATAACAAAAACTGACACAATATTATAGACTTCATAAAGAGAGTTATTTAAAGTAAGATACTAATAATAGATTTTTGTCGTTTTTTATTTTTATATAATTTTGTTATTTTTGTTTTAATTTCCTTATTGCAATGAACGACTGTTCAACCAGTCAGCCAACCCAAAATAGATTAGTTAAACGACCGCTTCATAACCTTGAATTAAAGGATAACAAAGTGATAAGGATAACGTGACGATAGAACCACTGATAACAACACATCCCTGATGACACCCCGAGATGGCAGCGATATCGGGTGCGCAGTTTAGCCCCGATCCCTTGGGTCATCGGCGACTTACTAAATAGACGACGAAATACAGAAAACTACCTAATAAAATGCCCATAATGACCCTTAAACTTTCAGTTTTATTTCCATAATTGCGCCGATTTCGTGCAGAATCAAAATGAAATGAACCCCTATCACGGAAACAAATCAAGTGTAAACGGATTTTCTAGCTCAATGGCTAGGTCAAGATAGCGAGTGAAATTTAATTAATTTTGTTGATAAATTGGTTTTTAAAAATAAGCTTAAGTTAGCATTTATTTACGTATGAATATTACCACAAATGACGATATGACGGCAGAAAATTAGCGAAAAAAATAGGAACAGGTAGACTTTCTGAAAACCAAACAATATAATATAACAAATTTACGATCCCGTGCGTCTTTAGATGTTCGTATAAATGTAATAAATTCCGCCGTTGTAATATTAAAATTTCTCATACTTCGCTGCCTGTAATGCTAGCATTACCTACTGCAAAGTTGAGGTTACCTAATATACAAGTATATATTAGGGATTCTGTGAAACAAAATATGATCATCTGTTAATTCATGTATATACAATACAAAATCTTTCAAATGTAAATCTGATACTGTTTCATTATAAGGAACACAAACTATATAATATCTGATAGTAAGAAAAAACGTCACATTTCTGCCATATACCTGCATATGGAAATATATTTCATTTACAAGTACTTATTTCACATTTATAAGAAATATTAAAGCAACAACTATAACATTTATGCTACCTTATTGTCATTTCTGACAAATGCAGATAAACTTTAAAATATTTGCCAAACAGCCCGTTTCTAAATGTACAAATTTACACTAACATGTTAATTAGATATCACAACATTACAATGAAATATTTGTTTTAAATATTTCAAAATATTGTTACCTGATTATATAAAATATCTATATAAAATATGCTTATATATATATATACATATATCAATTAATTTATATACATGTAATGCAAATATAACTTTGTTAAGTATTAAGCTGTTTATGGTCCATATACATGTTTAATATTGTTTGCATATGACAGAAATGTGTAAGCTGGACGCGGCAATAGATGTTTTTGCAGTATATTGTATCAAGTTTTGCAATAAAGTAAACAAATCATGCTGATTTTTAAATATACAAGGACATACAAATTATCTTAATAAATGTATGTTTTATTCCCGTTTAAAGAGCTACATTTTATACGTAAGATCGTTGGTTAATTCTACACAACATACATTAAGAATGTCAGTCTTTAACATTTTGATGCCCTTAACGTTACAAGTACAATATAAAATTAATAGCTGATTTTTTGACAGATATAAAGTAAGAAAGATGATATCTGGTCTTCGGTTTTGAGCAAATAAGCTAATTATTTTTAAAAAAGGCGTAAAAAGAAGGAACGGTAAAGACAGCTAAATTGGACAAGTCAGACGAAATTGTGAAGCTTTCACGATATTTTTACCTATAAAACTATTAAAAATAGCATTACCGCATCTGTTTAATTTCTTTTTGCCGCTTCCATATGATAATAAAATACAGTAATAAACTTGTCCAAGTTATTCACTATAACTCATTAACAAAGTTGTGTTTAAACTCCACTAAGTTTTTTCTGACATAACGAAACTTGATTTTTTTAGTTTTGTTGACCAATAACTTGTGCGCTAAAATTTTAGACACCCCGTGTTCCAGAATGATCTTTTTTATAATGCAGAATGACACAAAAATGAAGCCTTGAAAACGGCTAAGAATCGTTTTAAAATCGATTTTTAGTTTTATAATTCAGAGTATATTTCTTTATTCTTTTTTTTCCATATTTTCCACTATAAGTTCCTCAGTTGATCAATGTGTATGTTTATAAATAGGCATTTAGACCTTAGTGTAGTTCCTTTAAAAAAATGTTTCCTTGCCCTAAACAACTTATGCAAGATAAGCAAGGAAGAATGTTAAGGTGTACACTAAGAACAATAATACATTGTACATATTTATGCTAGGTAAATAGATGGTAAACTTAACATGCAAAGAAAAACAAAATGTCTATCAAGGATGTCATTCAAAATATATTTACCAACATTATTTCACAAGAAGTATATATAACTTAATTTAAATAATGAATTTACGGACGATAGTTTTAGTAACTTTGCGTGGAAGAGCGAGAAACGTGTAAAACGTAATGCCATTATTTTCAATACGTGTTGAAATAATAAAGACAAAAACGTTCGAGGTAGAATCTGCCATTGTAAATAATGCTATATTCTGGACTCCATATCACGGAATGGTTGGCGGTTTTTATTTGAATTTAATGACGATGGTGTCTCTCTCCTTCTAGAATGACTAACAACAACCACACCACCAGGTTTTATTTCAATCACTTTCTCATATCAAATCATATTCACACCACATTAGGTATGTAGACCACCGGACATATAACGCAGAATTTCATCTTAGAGCCTTCACTAAAATTCAATAATGATGACCCTCCAAAAACTGTTGAATAATTCAATGAATGTGAATGAAATGCTAGCCTGTCAGGGGAAATGAATAATGTGCAGAAGAAATGAATTATTTTATTCATTCCTTGACTCTCACTGCTCTGTGTTCCATAGGGAACAATCGAAGAGCGAACGCCTTATTATTTGCGAGATACGAAAATTGTAGTATAGCGTCCATTAAAAACACGTTGCGTACACAAGATGTTTAATTAATTACCAGCAAGAAAGAAATTCATTAATAAGATTTCCTTTCTCCCCAATGTTTTTGTTTATGATATCAGATCGTTACGAAATTGCAATTGATTCTTAAATTATTTGTTGGAATGCCGATTAGAGAAGTATTATATTTGAAGGTTTTTGTTTAAATACAGCACAAAGTCTTTATAGTACTATATTTAGATAGTGACTCATGCTCGAAACAAACTGAGTAACTGTTAAATAAATTAATTAATTAATTAATTAGTAATAAACAACTCGACACGGTTAGAGCAAATTATGATTTTATGTTTAAACAACTTCACTTCTGTTACTAGTATATTTTATTGAGAATAAAATTTTAATGATTATATATATATACACACACATATCTTTTCCTAACCTCAGGCAAATATAAACTTTAAAGAATTAGTTGGTATTCAAACGAAATAAATATCAAGAAAAGAAGTGTCTTATTTTGTCTAAAATGCTACAATTCTTGTAAGATTTCCG